ACTGCTTTAGTTTTTAAATGTAAATTTTTAAAAATTCAGTTCCTCAGTTATCCTAGCCACATTTTAAGTGCACAGTAGTCACCTGTGTCTAGTTTTGGACAACATAGCTATAGACAATTGTGAGATTATTTAGCAGCTGAATAACACATCAAAAGTTGTATCTTAGGAAAATTTGTTTTCAGTAAAATGCAGAATGAATTGAAGGGTGTGATGGTGGAGGGACAAGAGAGAAGTTAGATCTGGAATGAGTTACAGGTAGGTACTAGAATGGTAGCAGTGGAGGTGTTGAGAGGATAGAACAAATCTGAGAGATCTTTCAAAGAAATAACTGGTATGGCTTGATGACTGATTGGCAATGAGGAAAGAAAAAATAAAATCAAGTATGATAGCCAGGCTCCAAACAGCCTGAAAGGATCCTTGCATCCTAGTATTCGAACTCTTGTAAAATCTTCTATACTTTACTGGGGTTGGTCCACATGACCAATAAAATAAACAGCAGTGATGGTTATAAGATACCGTGGCTTCTGTCTTGGTGGCTCTTTCTCTGGGCTCTTTCTCTCCAGAGGAAGCCAGCTGCTACACTGTGAGCAGCCCCATGGAGAGGCCCATGTGGCAGGACCTGTAACCTGCCAACAACAACATGAGTTTGGAAGCTGAGCATTCAGATGACTGCAATCCCAGCCAATGCTTTGCAGCCTCATGAGAGACTCTGAGCCAGAACCACCTGGCTAAGTCTCTCCCTGATTCCTGAGCCTTGGAATCTCTGAGAAACAATACATGTTGGTATCTTTAAGCTGCTAAATTTTAGGGGTAATTTGTAGCAGAAATAGATAATTGAACAATAATTTAAAAAGACAATATCAAACACGAATAAAAAGATAACCCAATTAGGCTGGGTGCAGTGGCTCACGCCTATAATCCCAGCACTTTGGGAGGCCAAGGCAGGTGGATCACCTGAGATCAGGAGGTCGAGACCAGCCTGACCAACAGGGAGAAACCCCGTCTCTACTAAAAATACAAAATTAGCCAGAAGTGGAGGTTGCAGTGAGCCAAGATCGTGTTATTACACTGCAGCCCGGGCAACAAGAGCGAAACTTTGTTTAAACAAAAAACAAAAAACAAAACAACAGCAACAACAAAAACCCAATTTAAAAATGGGCAAGAAAATTAAAAGAAGATAATAAGCATACGAAAAAGTGCTCAACATCATTAGACACCAGGAAAATGAAAATTAAAATCACAAGGAGATAACACCAAGCACACACCAGCATGACTAAAATTAAAAAGACTAATAAAAACAAAATGTGACTGAGAATATGGAGCAACCAGAATTCTTTATTTAAAAATTAAGATGTAATTTACATACCACACAATTCACCCATATAAAGTATATGATTCAGCCAACCATCACCACTATCCATTTTAGAATATTTTCATTACTCTACCAGAAAACCCTGGACCGCTTAGCTGTCACTCTCCAATTCTCCCACCTCCTCTCCAGCCTTAGGCAACCTGTAGTCTACTTTCTATCTGTACACATTTGCTTATTCTAGACACTCATATAAATGGCATCATATAATATGTGGTCTATTATGACTGGCTTCTTTCATTTAGCACAGTGTTTTCCATGGTTACTCATGTTGTACCACGTATCGATACTTCATTTCTGTTTCTTGCCAAATAATACTTCATTGTACAGATATATAACTTTTGTTTTTACCTATTTATCAGTTGATGGACATTTGGGTTATTTCTGCTTCTTGGCAATTATGCTGCCATAAACATTATGTACAAATTTTGTGAGGACTATGTTTTCATTTATTTTGGGTATATACCTAGGTATGGAACTGTTGGGTCGTATAGTCACTCTGTTTAGCCATTTGAGGAACTGCCAGACATTTTTCCAAGATAGCCGCACCATTGTACATTCTCACCAGTGGTGTCTGAGGATTCCAAATTCTCCTCACTTAACACTTGTTTTTTAAAAAATTACGGTGGGTGTGAAGTCATTGTGGTTTTGACATGCATTTCCCGGATGGCTAATAATGTTGAGCATCTTTTCATATGATTGTTGATCATTCATATATCTTTTTTGGAGAGCTGTATAGTATATTCAAATGTTGTCCATTTTACAATTCGGTTATTTAAATTGTGATAGTTCTTTACATATTATAGATAGCCTTTTATCAAATATATTGTTTGTAAACATAATTCCTCATTCTGTGGATTGTATGCCACCAGAATTCTTGTCCAAAATGATACAAAAGGGTCTGGCTGTTTCATATAAAACCAAACATTGACATACTCTATAAACAAGACATTCTACTTACAGATAAATATACTCAAGAGAAAAGGAAACATATGTCTACAAAAGATTTACACAAGAATGTTTACAGCAGCTTTATTCATAATAGCTCCAAACTGGCAACAGCCCAGGAATCTATCAGGAGGAGCATAGATCAGTAAACTATGGTGTATTCATATAATAAAATACTACTCAGTAATAAAATGGAGCAAATTATTGATACACATGATACACACGATATGGACAATTTGCTAAGTGAAAAATGCTATGCACAAAAAGTGCACACTGTATGATTCCATTTTATATGAATTTTTAGAAAATGCAAAACTAATTGATGGTAGAAAAAATCAGACTGGGTGCAGTATTTAACACCTGTAATCCTAGCATTTTGGGAGATCGAGGCGGGGAGATCTCTTGAGCCCAGGAGTTGGAGGCCAGCCTGGGTAACATGGCAAGACCCTATCTCGCAAAAAAACAAAAACAAAAACAAAAACAAAAACTAGCTGGGCGTGGTGGCATGTGCCTGTAGTCCCATCTACTCAGGAGACTGAGGTGGGAGGATTGCTTGAGCCCAGGGAGGTTGAAGCTGCAGTCAGCTATGACTGTGGCACTGTATTCTAGCCTGGGTGTAGAGCGAGACCCTGTCTGAAAACAAACAACAGTGGTTCTCGAGACAGAACAGTGGTTACTTCTGGGGTGGGGGTTGGGTGGGGAAGGCAGTGATAGGCAGAGAATGTCTGGAAAATCATGAGAGGAAACTTTTTGGGGTGATGACAATGGTTTATATCTCAGGAATTTTGGTTACACAAGTGTATATGTTTGTCAAACTCAGTGAATGTACACTTAAGATTTGTGCATTTCATTGTATGTAAATTTTGTGGCAAAAGGGAAAATATGTAAACAAATATTTAACTCTAGATAATAAGACACATGCCATATTTTGGGAGAAGTAAAACGATGCCTGTAATTAACTTTGAAAAGCATTTAAAAATAAGGTATTTGGGATAAGGAATAAAGCAAGACAAAATGTAAATCTAGGTAGAATCTATGTGGTGAGCACATGGGTGTTTGCTTTAAATTTTTATAATTTTGCTATATGTTTGAAAATCTTCAGAATAGAATATTAAGATAATTTTTTTTAAAGGACTAAGGTTTCTAGAGCTGGGGGCCAGAAGATGATAGCATCATTAGAAGAAATAGAGAATTTGGGAATAGGAAGGACAGCTTGGTGGAAGGTGTGGCATAACTGACAGGTCTTGATACCTACGAGGTCCTAAGTAATTTATGCACATATTTCCTTCTATATTTCAATGGATCTTCACAAACACCTCTAGTCTTTAATCATCAGCACATCCATTTTCAGATGAGAAAATGGAGGTTCTGAAAAGCTATATAATTTGCTCAAGGTCATTAAACTATTAGTGTGCTAGGGATAGGACTGATTATGTAATTTGCAGGCCTAGTGTAAAATGAAAATTTGTGGTTCCTTGTTCAAAAATTATTAATAGCACAACATTAAAACAAGCACAGGGCCCTTCTAACGATGAGGCCTTCTGAGACTCAGGTTTCACACACATGAAGCTAGGGCGGCAAGGAAGGTTTGAATCTCAGTCTGTCTAACAGGAAAGTCCATGCTTTTTCCAGTAAACCATGCTAGGTCAGATGACTGGTTCATTTCTGTGCTCAGTGAATGAGGCATGATGGTGATGTCAGATCGTGATGTCCCGTAGCCAGTTAAAAACCAAATTGCAGGTAAGGAGTTCCTTTTGTGATGTCTGTTGTCTGTCCTCTTCTCAGTGGGCATTTGGTTATTACATTTGACCTAGGTTAGAAACGTAATTTTTTATCAAAGTCTCAACAGTGTATCTCTTTAAGTATCAAGGTACTAAGAATAACTCCTTTCATGTGTCCTCTCTGAAATTTGTCACCGGATTTCTTCTTTCTGATAAATGTTTCAATACTTACTAGTGGCGATGAAATGTCTTCTGCTAGACATCTGGGTGGATCTGGAAGCAGAGGAACTTTTTCCTCAATTTAACAGTGGATCCTAGTAGTTAAGTTAAATGCGGGTTTCATTTAAGAGTAAGCTACTTTCTGAATGCAATTAGGCTTTCACTGATAACAGTAACTTTTACTTTAGTTGGGAAGACATATCTATTATCTCTTAATCAGACAACTCTTGTCTGTCTTTGAGGAAGAGTGGGGGATCTATAACTTTTCCCAAGAAAACTGAAAATGTCTCAATCCTAATGTTAAAGGAATTAGGCTATATTGGGTTAGGAATGAATAAACTACCCCGATGTCCTTTATCAAGTGTAATTCCTCTACTTGATTCTTAAATAATACTAAGTTTACATTTTAATAAAAAATTACTAAAATTCCAGAAAAGTCTTTCACATTAGTTCCTGCTGGTCAATTTTGCAGGTCAAGCCTACAACAGTTGCGCTTTAGGCTAAGACAGCCTCTAGAGGGCAATCTCCTTTCCTGCGAATCCGCCCTAGTCTGCTCTATCCTCCCTCTCACCGCTCCGCCTCAGCTCGCTCTCCGCCTTCCCCCTGGCCCCGTCCCCGATCCCAGGCCCGCCCCGCACCGGTCCCATCCCCCTTCCCCGCCCTCAACTATTTCCTCCAGGCGTCGTTCTTGCCCCGCCCCTCCCTGCCGCGTAGCGGAAACGGTCGCTCTGGCTTTCTGGAGGACTTGTCATCTGTGCCCAGCGGGGCCGGACGGCGGTGGGCGGGGCTCACGCGAGGCGCTGGAAGGGTCCGCGTGATTCTCGCTACGTTGCTTTAGCTCTGGAGTGTTTGGCGATGGGGCAGCGGGAGGTGTGGAGGCTCATGTCGAGGTGAGTGAGAGAGCGAGCAGCCAAGGGCAGGCTCTTCAGCGGCGCTCTCCAAAGTGGGAAAAGGGCCGGGGGTGGAGACTGCTGGCCTCGAAGTTTCGAGTCGCGCTCAGAGGCGCAGTTTTGAGACCCCAACCTTGGCCCACCCCAACCTTGGCCCTCCCCAAGCCCCAGCCCCCGTCCCTGTCTTCCCTTTCTCCCTCTAGCATCTTCTTTGCGGCGGCACCCGCGTTTTCTGCCACTCTAGCTCTTAATTCAACCTTGTCCCCACACGACTTGCATTCTTTTGGCCTCAATTTCTTTTCTTTCTTCAAAGTTGGGTGCAGTTTGGGGACACGGAGGGATTCAGCTTAGAGGAATTGTGCGGCATGTTTTGTGCAGTCAACACACACAGGTGCCTTGTCACTTACTGCACCTCTCTCTGCCCGTGGTATGATTTTATTCAGCTTTCTTGCATGGCTCCAGCGTCAGTGCAGGCATCTGGAACTTTCAGGCTAGTGTTGAGGGACATTTAACGTGGCATGGGGGAGCATGTTTGCAAACGTTGTTTAACTTTTCAAAAGTACCCCTCACTGCACCTTGAGCTCAGCCTAAGAAATCTGGTAGCCACATCTTTAGGAAGTTAGGCTACATGCGTCTTGAACAGCCCACTGTCTGGCCCTGTACTGTCATGTCAGGTAGCAGCTACGCCCACTTGAAGGGAGAACCATGTTTATTTCATTAAAATAAGGACAACTTAAATTATTGGATTCTTTAAGCCTTAGAGTTTGCCTTCTGGGTTTCCTGAAAAGGGATGGAGGTGTTTCTTTGAATTAAGAAGAATGGTTTCAGGGGAAAGTGTCTAGACTTCTAACACTGTATCCACAGACCTAATTCTCAGTATATATTTGTTATACATTTAAGAGTTGCTTTTCTGCTTGTTTTTTTAATACCTTAAAATTTAGTCCTTGCACGAGCTCATGGAGAGATTTAGTAAATAGTAAGAAAATCAGTACCCGTAATCGTTGCTGCCGCTTTTTCAGTGTTGTCAGCAAATAGCAAATAGAGAAACAAACTGGAAAGACATGTTCGTTAAAGTTAACTGACTTAGGAAAGGATCTGTCATTTCCACAATTCAGCTTGGCTTTCTTCCACCCCACGTTCCAAGTTGCAGACTCTGTAGGTGAGGGCAGGACCATTTTGGGGGCTTTGATCTGAGATGCCTTTTCCAAACTCAGCCCTGGAGTGGGCATTATCTTGGAAAGCAGAGGCCAAAGTGGTCCAGTCCGCAGTAGCCTAACCCTCAAGCGTGTAAGGGAATACGGTGCTACGGAAAGTGTTTCTGAGAGGAGAAAAGGCCTTGGGCCATGGTTGACAGTGTTGGGCAACCCCACTTGAACTCTGGCCTCCCTTGGCTTCTTTGGTACTGGCCTATTTTTCTAATGCCACTCTCCGCCGCCTCTCCTCTTACCCCAGTGCCAGTTTAGCTCTTGGACTTTTTTTTTTTTTTGGTTCCCAAATCATCTCTCTTAGCGTAACTCAAATCTTTGTCTAATCTGACTTTCTCTGAGCTCTAGTGCTGGTCACAACCCTCTTAATATCTCAGCTGCAACTCACATATAAATTTACACTTAAGGGCTAGGCGCGGGGGCTCATGCCTGTAATCCCAGCACTTTGGGAGGCCGAGGCGGGCATATCATATGAGGTCAGGAGTTCAAGACCAGGCTGGGCAACATAGTGAAACCCCCGTCTCTACTAAAAATGCAAAAAAAAATTAGCTGGGCGTGGTGGCAGGGGCCTGTAATCCCAGCTACTTGGGAGGCTGAGGCAGGAGAATTGCTGGAACCTGGGAGGCGGAGGTTGCAGTGAGCCGAGATTGCACCACTGCACTCCAGCCTGGGCGACAGAGTGAGACTCCGTCTCAAAACAACAACAACAAACAAACAAAAAAAAAAAGGAAAAGAAAAACAAATTTGCACATAAATATAACCCTTATTCTTTATCTCTCTTGGCACTATCATTCTTCTAGATTCTCAAAGTTACCTAAGTTCTTCCAGACTCCTAAACCTTAACCTCTTCCTGTGGATTCAAGTTGCAACAGTAGTCTCAAAGTTACCACTTTTTCCTCTTCCCAGTGTGAATTGTTTCCGTACAAGAGTGCCAGGTTAATCTCGCTGAGGTTTTACTTTAGTGACTGCCATTCTTCTCAGAAGCTCACAGAGGTGCACTTCTGCTTATGCAGTTAAATACAATTTTACCAGCCTGAATTTCACAGATTCGGCCCCAGTATATTCATGAATGAACAGTTACCTACTGTTCTGTTCTACTTGCTGGGAAGCACAGTTCTAGGCATTTTTGTTATCCTATAGCCACCGTGGACTACTTGGTGTTCCTACTGTTCCTTGGAGTCTGAAAGGAGAGCAGATAGGAAACATAATTAGACAAAAGTAATTTTTAGTTACCAATTCTGATAAGTGTCTTAAGGGACACAGTTATGAGAGCCAGATTAGGTAGGGAGAGGGAGTCAGGAAGCCTCATCAGAGAGGTTGCTTTTCGCTGGGTGTGGTGGTTTATGCCTGTAATCCTAGCGCTTTGAGAGGTCAGCGTGGGAGTTTAAGACAGTTCTGAGCATAGCAAGACCCCGTTTCTATAAAAAATAAGAAAAAACTAGCTGGGTATGGTGGCATATGCCTATCCTTCCAGCTTGGGAGGCTGAGGTGGGAGGATCACTTGAGCCTCAGAGTTCAAGTTTACAGTGAACTGTGATTGCGCCACTGCCCTCCAGCCTGGGCAACATGGAAAAACCTAGTCTCTAAAAATAAAAATGACAGGAAGAGATTACTTTTTAGGTTTTTAATAGGCCTCATTGCCTTTTCCATCTGCTCTGTACTCTGCTGAACTCTATTGTTTTGGTTCTTGCTCTTTGACTGCCTCTCTTTTTTACTTCTACTTAGTTGTTTCTTAGTTGATCAAAGGCTCAATCTTTGATGCTCTGTTAGGTTGTTTTCTGTGTTAGGAATCATGAGCCTGAGTGCAGAGGCCGAGAAGGAAGCATTGAAAGATGCTGGCTAGATGGTAGCGTGGGGAAACTGGTGAGCTGGATAGAGTGCTCTGGAGAGGAGGCAGCTTCTCAGCTGCAGGCATTGTTGCCCTTATAGAATATAGACTCAGGGTTTCCATTGCTACTGATTTTTCTGGAAAAGCTGGAAAAACTGCATTTTTAGGTGAAATCTCTTGATTTTTAAATATTAGTAGTTTTCTTTTTCTTCTTTTTAATCTCTGCCATTCCATCCAGATAATGTTAGTAGTTTTAAAACACTGCTCGGCTGGGCATGGTGACTCAAGCCTGTAATACCAGCACTTTGGGCAGCTGAGGCTGGAGGATCACACAGCCCATGAATTCAAGACCAGCCTGGGCAACATAGACTGTGTCTCTACAAAAGATTTAAAAATTAGGTGTGGTGGTGTGCGCCTGTAGTCTTAGCTGTTCAGGAGGCTTGAGTCCAGGAGATTGAGGCTGCAGTGAGCCCGTGATCATACCACTGCACTGCAGCCTGGGTGACAGTGAGACCCTGTCTCTCAAAATAAATAAATAGAATGCAGAAATAAAACGCTACTGACCAATACCACAGTTGCAGTTGGCATCCTTCTGGCAGTTAGTTTTCAGCTGTAGCCTTCTCATTTATTCCTTACAGAAAACAGAGAGATTCCAATGCCTCAGTGATTGTGCATGCATGTGGCATGAGACATACCTTTAGTTCTAACTTCCTTTCAAGCTCTAGTTCTTCTGTTGAATATTTCTGCTTATGTCAGTACAAACTCAAATTCAGAATTGAATTTGTATTTCATCCTGCAAACCAGTGAGCTTCTTTCCCTGTCTTTTCTATATTCTCCTAGTTGTCCTGGTCTGAAATCTTAAAGTCGTTTTTGACATTCTTTTCCATTGAGTTTTTACTCTATAATAACTCGTAATAATATCACTCCCTTCTGTTTCCACAGCTGCTGTTCTTCATCACCCCATGCCTAAATTATTGGCCTCCTGGACTTGATTTTCTGCTCTATTCACACCTTGCCTACTTCTGGGATAATAATTTTCATTAAGCACTACTTTGTGATGTCGTCTTCCTGCTTAAGCAGTTTCATGTAGTTGTTTAATTGCATGAGGCCATGTTTATTTTATTGGATAATTGCAAAAAGTTCCTGAGTGATAAAGTTCTCATCTAAGACAGTTGTTTATTTAAACTACACACATCATAACCACCTGGAGGATTTGTTAAACACAGATTTCTGGACCCCACAGTTTCTTGTTCAGTAGGTCTGGCGTGGGGCAGAGAATTTCAGTTTCTAGTAAGTTTCCAGGGGATGTTGATGGTACTTGTCCAAGAACCATACTTTGAGAATTGTTCTTAAAAAAAAAAAAGCCAAGTTAACATCAGCTGAAGGAAATAAGCCTGATAAAGTTAATTAAGAAATTAGGAGTAGCAGGCTGGGCGCAGTGGCTCACACCTGTAATTTCAGCACTTTGGGAGGCTGAGGCGGGCGGATCAAGAGGCCAAGAGATCATGGCCATGCTGGCTAATATGGTGAAACCCCGTCTCTACTAAAAATACAAAAATTAGCCGGGCACGGTGGCTGGCACCTGTAGTCCCAGCTACTCGGGAGGCTGAGGCAGGAGAATGGTGTGAACCTGGGAGGCGGAGCTTGCAGTGAGCCGAGATTTTGCCACTGCACTCCAGCCTGGGCCACAGAGAGACTCCTTCTCAAGAAAAAAAAAAAAAAAAAGTAGCAGAGATGTGTGTGCCCTCTTCCTCTCCACCAGATGGCAGTTTTGGAGCCAGTAGAAAGGAGAGATCATAAATTCAGAATTACTTGGGGACACTGAATTCTCAATTACATTTTGAGATATAAAAGCTAATATCAAATTTTAAATGACAGCTGAATTTGAATTAGAACAAGTGGGCCAGGTGTGGTGGCTCACGCCTGTAATCCCAGCACTTTGGGAGGCTGAGGCAGGCAGGTCACCTGAGGTTGTGAGTTAAAGACTAGCCTGGCCAACATGGAGAAACCTCGTCTCTACTAAAAATACAAAAAATAAGCTGGGTGTGGTGATGCACACCTGCAATCCCAGTTATTCGGGAGGTTGAGGCAGGAGAATCGCTGGAACCTGGGAACAGAGGTTGCAGTGAGCCAAGATTGTGCCATTGCACTCCAGCCTGGGTGACACAGCAAGACTCCGTCTCAAATAAAATCAATCAACCAACCAAATGGAAGCAATATGATTATATAGTATTTGGCAAGGAATTTGGTTGTATATATATATTTTTTTGTAATTGGTCCACAGATTTTTGTGACCTATAAATTTTTTGTACAGTGGCTTTGTTTGATAGGTTTACATTAACTTTGAGTTAAATTCTGCCTTATATATAAAACTGGGACTTGGAGTTCTCTTTGTTTATTTGTTAAAACACTGCAGTTAGTACTTAAACTATTACATAAGAGTTGCAAATCTGGCAACACCTTCTTGAACTGACATTTGGGTACTGGCCTCATTAAGGACTAAAGTCATTCTGGATTTTTATACTTAAAATTTACAAAACGATAAAATTGAGTCAAGTTGAAAACATTTTAGAAATGGTGTTTTAGGGTAGTGTAGTTCACACTTTAAAAGTAATTATGAAAACCTTATTTAGAAAATATCCCTAAATAAGATACGCTCTGTTGCTTCAGTTTCATAATTATAAAGTGTTAGTGTTGATTTTTAATGACAGCTTCCTTCTTTGAAATCATTTAGGGGAGCTTCAAACAAAGTATCTGTGCCTGTGCCCCACCTTCAGAGTTTGATTTAATTGGTCTTGGGTGTGACCTGAGCTTTGGAATTTTTACCTGTCTCCAGGTGATTTTTTTTTTTTTTTTTGGAGACAGAGTCTCACTCTTGTCGCGCAGGCTGGAGTGCAGTGGCACAGTCTCAGCTCACTGCAACCTCTGTGTTAGAAATACCAAAATTGGGCTGGGCGCGGTGGCTCAAGCCTGTAATCCCAGCACTTTGGGAGGCTGAGACGGGCGGATCATGAGGTCAGGAGATCGAGACCATCCTGGCTAACACGGTGAAACCCCGTCTCTACTAAAAAATACAAAAAAAAACTAGCCAGGCGAGGTGGTGGGCACCTGCTGTCCCAGCTACTCGGGAGGCTGAGGCAGGAGAATGGCGTAAACCTGGGAGGCGGAGCTTGCAGTGAGCTGAGATCCGGCCACTGCACTCCAGCCCAGGCGATGGAGCGAGACTCTGTCTCAAAAAAAAAAAAAAGAAATACCAAAATTGTTAGATGATTGGTGCTGTGAAGAAAAGTCAGCATGGAGACAAAAGGATTTCTCAGCAAGCCATTTTTACTTTCTGCAGAAAGGGTGCTGAATCGCAGATGGAACAATGGCGAGAGCAAACTTGACAAAGGAAAAGCAGACATATTTATCCCTTACGCATTTATGTTGTCCTTACTGCTGTGTCGTGCATCCTTTGGCTGGAGCGGGACCTCACACTCTTAAACTGATACCCAATATGCTAATAGCCTAAATAGGTAAGTGCAGGGAAGAACAAAGAATTTGCTTATGAAAGGTTTAAGGAAGCAGTAACATTTTTAAATAAGGAAGGGCATAGGCTGTGAGCTGGAACGTGCCTGTGAGTGTGTCCAATAGTTATGCAGGATAGGGCTTAACAAGGAGTTACTAGCACAAAGCAAGGAGACCTGAAGAAAGTCTTTAAAAGAAACTATTATTTCTAACACTTAAAATTTATTCTTTAACAAGGAGAAAAACTTTGAAGAGGAAACTTTTTACTTTCTACACTCTGCCTCCCAGGTTCAAGCTATTCTGCTGCCTCAGCCTCCTGAGTAGCTGGGATTACAGGCGCCTGCCACCATGCCCGGCTAATTTTTGTACTTTTAGTAGAGACGGGGTTTCACCTTGTTGGCCAGGCTGGTCTGGAACTCCTGACCTCAGGTGATCCGCCTGCCTTGGCCTCCCAAAGTGCTGGGATTACAGGCATGAGCCACCATGCCCAGCCAAGTCTCCAGGTGATTCTAATGCACAGACCAGTCTTGGAATCACTGGGCTAGGATAAGAACATTTTACTTGTGGTGAGACAAATTCAAAAATGCTAGTTCAGGAATGTAAACTGTGACCGACTTAAACAAATAGATCGTTTCTCTCTATTGTATAATTCAATTTGAATGTAATATAAAAAGAAAGTAATATAAATTTTGAAAGGTAAGTTGGATTACAAATATTTTTATAAATCCAGTCATCCAAGTTGTGGTTACAAGTGGTAACTGGTCATATTGCCTTTTGTGAAACCTCAGGCTGTTGGTCTTTGTATAATCTCAGAGTATCCTTGAAAAATTAACAGATTGTCAGTTTATCAGTTCCATTAGATAGTATATGTATCTGCACATGTGCACAGCCCTTATCAGGCTGCTGCAGCTACTGATTCTAGCTTTGACCTCTTTCCATAGATCTTAAATTTAGTTTCTTAAACAAAAAGCATGCATCTTAGTATATTCTAACTATAGTATTTTTATGTGCACATCTGTCATTACATTGTGGGTTTCTCAAGGGCAAGAGCTTTGTCTTTTAGGAAATTTTTTAAAAAGCCCAAAGCATAATGATACAACTTGATGAATTTTCACAAACCAAGCATACCTAAATCACCAGCACCTGGATCAAGAAACAAGCTTTCCAGAGGCCCTCCTCATGCCTCTCTCAATCAATGCCCTTCCTGGTGTTGCCTTTTACTTTCTTATTATAATGTACATAAGGCACTTGAGTACACTGTTCTGAAGTTTATAGCTTAGTGAACTTATACCTGCAGTCCTGTAATCAGCATCAGGATAGGGACAATTTCCAACGTTCCGTGTTTGTTCATGCCCCTTACCAGGTGACCCCACCCTCACCATTTTCATGTCCGGAGTGGTCACTTTGGTCAAGCTGTGTCTCGGGCTTTGTATTCCTAGCCCAACAAGCACTTTTAAAACAGCAAAAATAGAAGTGTGTTGTGTTTATTGTTTTGTAGCCTGCTCTCCTTTTCTGGTTTGTCATGACTGCTTTTCCGTGTTAGTATTTTTAGTGGTTGTGTAATGGCTGTGTGTATTAATAGACACAGTCTTTAAAATAATGCTCTATTTTTAGACATTTACTTTGTTTTCAGTTTTTCCATCATGTAAATAATTGTGAACATATTTATCAATCAAACTTTGGTCATATTTCTGAGATTTCCCTAGTGCACATGCTTGCAGAATTAGTGGATTGAAGGGTGTGATCATTTTAAAGGCTGTGGATTTGTATTTCCAAACTGTTTACCAGAAAGGCAGTACCAATTTATACCTCTCTCTACAGTGTCTGAGAATACTGTTTGTATTGCATCTTTAACAAACGTTTTTTCTTAAGAGTAATGACTTTATTTTTTAGAGTAGTTTTAAGTTGGTGGAAAAAATGACCTGCAAATTTGAGCAGAAAAGTTTGACAAATAATAAGGACATGTATCAACCATTACAGTATCGTACAGATAAGTTTCACTGCCCTAAACATCTCCTGTGTTCCAACTGTGCATCCCTCACTCCCCCAAACCCCTGGCAACCACTGATCTTTCTACTGATTTCATAATTTTGCCCTTTTCAGAATATCATACAGTTGAAATCAGAGTGTGTAGCCTTTTCAGGACTGGCTTCTTTTGCTTAGTAGTATGTATGTATGTAAGTTTCGTCCAATTTTTTTTGTTGTTGCATAATAGCTCATTTCTCTTTTTCATGGCTGAATAATATTTTATATGGTTGTATTGAAATTGGTGTGTCTTCCAGCCATTGAAGAACATCTTGGTTACTTCCACATTTTGGCAGTTATGAAAAGTTACCATAAAATTCATGTACCAAGTGGCTATACCATTTAAAGTTCCCACCAGCAGTGAATGAGAGCTAAACCTTTTAAAACTTTTTGTTCTAATAATACCTTTTAGAAGAGGCTGAAGCAAAAGGTGATATACTATTTGTAAACTGAAACATGACTACCCACATTACTGTTCTCATTTTATTCCACATTTGTTTCAGGTTTAATGCATTCAAAAGGACTAATACCATACTGCACCATTTGGTAAGTTTTGCGGGCATTATTTGTATGTGTAACTTAAAATGTCATTGTTAGAGAAGTAGAGAAATACTGGTATGGCAGGTTTCCTTGACCTTGGTACATCATGGTTCTCAACTGTAGCGTCAAGACATGGCCCACATACCTTGTAGGAGGTGGCATAAGATTATGGTTAAAACCATGGTTCTTACAAGTCAGAATGCCTGGGTTAAATAATGGGTTCACTACTTCATCTTGGGTGGATTACTTGGTCTCTTACAGCTTTCCTTTTGATATATATAAAATGAGAATAATAATAGTATCTACCTTAGAATGCTTTTAAATTATAAATAAGATAATTGTATTAATCAGCGTTCTCTAGAAGGACAGAACTAATAGGACATATGTATATATGAAAGGGAGTTTATTAAGGAGAATTGACTTACATGATCACAAGATAAAGTCCCATGATAGGCCGTCCGCAAATTGAGGAGCAAGGAAGCCAGTGATGGATCAGCCTGAGTCCTAAAACCTCAAAAGTTGGGAAGCTGACAGTGCAGCCTCCAGTCTGTGGCCAAAGGCCCAAGAGCCACTGGCAAACTACTGGTATAAGTCCAAGAGTTCAAAAGCTGAAGAACTTGGAGACTGATATTCGAGGGTAGCAAGCATCCAGCACCAGAGAAAGATGAAGGCTGGAAGACTCAGCAGGTCAAGCCTTTCCAACTTCTGCCTGCTTTTATCCTAGCCATGCTGGCAGCTGATTAGACGGTGCCCACTCAGACTGAGGGTGGGTCTACCTCTCCCAGTCCACTGACTCAAATGTTAATCTCCTTTGGCAATACCTGCACAGACACACCCAGGAAAAATACTTTGCATCCTTCAATCCAATCAGGTTGACACTCAATATTAACCATCAAAATAATGCATTAAAAAATCTAGCATAGTCTTTGGGAGGCCGAGGTGGGCAGATCACGAGGTCAGGAGATCAAGACCATCCTGGCTAATGAGATGGTGAAACCCCGTCTCTACTAAAAAAATACAAAAAATTAGCCAGACATGGTGGTGGCCACCTGTAGTCCCAGCTACTGGGGAGGCTGAGGCAGGAGAATGGCATGAACCCGGGAGGCGGAGTTTGTGGTGAGCCGAGATTGCGCCACTGTACTCCAGCCTGGGTGAGAGAGTGACGAAAAAAAAAAAAAAAACTAGCATAGTGCATGGCATGTAGCAGTCATTTTATACGTTAGCTATTATTGTAATGGTACCCTTGCAAAGTTAAATATCCATAGTTTACCAGATTGTAAGGAAGAAATACATTTTATTCACTTTTATATCTCTTATAGAGGCTGACAAGTAAATTGCACGTAAAAACAATAACAGGTCATCTGATATCACTGTATTCTAGGTGGTACTGTAAGTATTTGTCGTGTTAGTAGCTCAGTTAATTCTCATGATAGTCCTCTGTAGTACATACTACAGATCTCTTATTTGCAATTCTAAAACCCTAAAACCAAAAGTTTTTTTGTTAGTTTGTGGTAAATGCATTGGCAAAATCTGACCTGGATGTACTTGAAGCTCTTTTAGTTTTTATCCTAACTAGTGTGAACGCTTATGGTTTGGTGCATAAATATAAAAACACTGTATTACTATGTAATCAAGTATTACAAGGACCTAGACTCCTCTTGGGGTATTTTATAAAGCATTTAGTATGTACTGTTTTCAAAATCTAGAAAATTTTAGGAATTAAGGGATTGTAGCCTTATCTCTGTATAACAGGGCAGAAATTGAGGGACAGAGAGGCTAAGTAACATGCCCAGATGTCACAGCTAGTAATTATGAGGTGTGATTTGAATCCTGGCTATCTGTCTTCATAGATTTACTTTGTACGCTCTATAGCCTCTGACAGAGTGAGCACTAAGTAACTACTGCAACTGTGCCTCTGTTAAACCTAAGTGGAAATGGGGATACAAAGCCTGGCATATCCCCTCCTAACTGTGTTAGTCTGTGTTTTTCTGTTGCTTATAACAGAATACCTAAAACCGAGGAATTTGTAAAGAAAAGGAACTTATTTCTTATAGCTAATGTAGGTTGAGAAGTCCAAGGTCAAGGTGCTGCATCTGGTGTGGGCCATTTTGCAGGTGGGTCCTCTCTGTAGAGCACCAAGGTGGTACAGGACATCATGTGACAAGGAGGCTAAGTGTGCTAGCTCACTTCTCCCTCTTCCTCTTAGAAACCCATAGTCTTACTCCCATACTAACCCATTGATTCATTAACTCTTTAATCCATTAACCCATTAATTTATGAATGGGTTAATCCGTTCATGTGAGCAGAACTGTCATGCCCAATCACCTCTTAAAGGACTCACCTTTTAGTATTGCCACATTCTTTGGAGGGGGCAAATATTTGAACCACAGCACTACCCTTACTTATTTTATTCAGCTGTTGTACATGGAGGCTGAGGAGTTTCCTAGGAAAAAAAACTAGAAGTGGTATCAGTGACTCGTATTTAGACTAAGTACATAGGTGGAATGGGAAGACATGACAGAATCCAGATCACATGGCGACTATGGTGACATGGGGCAGAAAACACCTGGAAAAAAGATAAAGACTCTCAGGGCCTGGGGGTTGAATAGTTCTGAGTCTCAGTGTTTGTTTTTATGAGTGCCTCAAGGGTAGAGAAAATGTATCCCAGGCAATTCTTCTGTGGCCTTTCTGAGAGAGTGAGTGAGTGAGAGAGAGAGACAGAGAGAGATCCTTTTTATTTCATGGTGGAGTGATGGAAGTATGCCATTGATGGCAGTATTGCAGGCAGAGTTATGAGAAGTGGACAGGATTATTTTGCATTAATAGTGTGACATTCGTGGTGATGCTTCCAAGATAGAGGTAGGGAATAGAACCCAGAAGGGAGGACAGAATTCTCCATTTCTGCATATAAGGTTTGTCAAGCTAATGAAAGCCAGTGGAACCTGTCAGTGAAGCCTCATTTATATCTGTAGACTAATTTGGAAATATTCTTACTACAAAAATATTCAGGGAAATACTTTTTTTTCTTCTTTCTCCATAATCTATTTTAAACTCGTGTTTTTTGTTTGTTATTGTTTGAGACAAAGTCTTGCTGTGTTGCCCAGGCTGGAGTGTAGTGATACTAGCTCACTGTAGCCTCGAACTCCTAGGCTCAGGTGATCCTCCTGCCTTAGCCTCTCGAGTAGCTAGGACTACAGGTATGGACCACCAACCCAGCTAATTTTTAAATTTTTTGTAGAGATGAGGTTTCTATGTTGCCCAGGCTGGCCTCGAACTCCTGGGCGCAAATGATCTTCCTGCCTTGGCCCCTCAGTGTGCTAGAATTATAGGTGTGAGCCACCATGCCTGGCCTATTTTAAATTCTTAAACAGCATTTTAATTTAGTGAGCAAAAGGTAATTTAATTTTGATCTGGATATGGAGAAAACTTCTATTTTCATTTTCTTTTTTTCCTTTTAGAAAGTAGTTCTATTCAGTATTGAGGGTATAGTGTTTGGAGTGCATGAAATGATACTGTGCATATCATTTTCATGACAGCACACATGTTCTTATTATATATGTCCAGATGGTGTCCTAGAATTATTCATAGCCCTTTTAATCCTACATCTGAATCTCTTTTACTCCACATCTAGATACCTAGTTCCCAAGAATACAGTAGATGATAGTGTTTTAGTCCATTTGAGCTGCTGTAACAAAATACCGTAAACTGGGTAGGTAGCTTATTAAAAACAGAATTTATTTCTCATAGTTCTGGAGGCTGGGGAGTTCAAGATCAAGGGGCCAGCAGATTTGGTGTCTGGTGATGGCCAACTTCCTGGTTCATAGACAACCTTGTTGGCCATCTTCTCTCTGTGTCCTCCTGGGGTAGAAGGGGTGAGGAAGCGCTCCAGGATTTCTTTTATAAGGGCATTAATCTCATTCATGAGGGCCAACGTGACCTAATCACCTCTCAAAGGTCTCACCTCTTCTGCCATCACCTTGGGGGTTAGGATTTCAACATACCAATTTTGGAGGGACACAAACATTCAGTCTGTAGTGCTATACAAGCTAATAGTTAGCTTGTTAATATTTCATGGATGCTGGCAGAAGACATGACAATCTTGGATTAGAAAAAAAAAATTTTGTGAGTGGTACAACGAGCAACACTGAGCAAGTTTTCTCTTGCTCCTCAAGCCTCAGGGGAGTGATACAGAGGACCCATATGAGTGTCTGCATTTGCAGAATATTGCATGACAGTACAACTGTCATGCGATTTGGGAAACCTGCTGGTTTTAGCAAGCTGTAAATAAGTCTGTTGTCTGTCTCAGAGGAAGGCCTTACCTTCTTCTTCATGGTGGCTCACAGCAAAGACCTTCTTCTTCATGGTGTCTACAGCAGAAGACCTTCTTCTTCATAGTGGCTACCTTGAAAATGACCTGGGCAAGGAGTGGTCAGGCCCTTGGGTTCATGGCATACCCATTCATAGCACATCCAGCAGGGGAAATTCCAGTGCTCATGCCAGATAGCATCTCTCAGAAGCTAAGTTCCATTTCTTGACCTAGGTAGTGGTTACAAGAGTTTCGCATTATAGTAATTAACTAAGTTCTGTATTACACTTTGGGTGGTTGTCTGTGTGTGTGTTTTATTTTACCATAGAAACATAGAAAAAAATAAGACAGCTTTATCTGTAGTAGTGACATGGAAAGATGACCATGGCAGGTTGCTGAATTAACCATGGGAGGTGCAGAATAAGGTACAGCATTCTATTTTTGCTAATAGTTTATGGAAAAGTGCCTGAGAAAGATAGACACTAAATCAGTAGTGTTGCAAACCAAGGCAATTTTGGTTTTCACCATTTTACCTGTGGTTGCCCCCTTGAATTAAAAACAAAACGTCTTACTGAGATTATGGGTTCAGCTGGATGTGGGAAATCTATTTTGCTTATTAAGAAAATGTTATATTTTATCAACTGACTTTATAGAAATAAGTTTTTAAGATAATTTTTAAAATTATTTTACAGTTTTAGATCTACAGGTAAGTTTAAAAGATAGTACAGAGTTCTTACGTACCTCTCACCCAGTTTCAGTTTCCCCTAATGCGTTTCTACATTGCTATTATGGATTGCATTGTGTCCCCCAAAATTCATATGTTGGAGTCCTAGTCCTCAGTACCTCAGAATGTGACCTTATCTGGAAATAGGGTTGTTGTATATGTAATTAGTTAAGGTCATAATTGAGTAGGGTGGGCCCTGATCCAATATGACTGGTATGCTTATAAAAGGGAAATTTGCAGATGGTCATGTACACAGGATAATGTCATGTGAAGATTGGAGTTATGCTGCCGCAAGCCAGAAAACTATATGAAGCCAGGAGAGAAGCCTAGGATAGATCCTTCCCTAGCACCTTCAGCAGGAGCATTGCCCTGCTGACCCCCTGATTTCAGACTTACAGCCTTCAAAACTATGAGACAGTAAGTTTGTGTTGGTTAAGCCGCTTAAGTAGTGGTACTTGGATATGGCAGCCCTAGCAAACTGCCTAATATTCTTACTATGGTACACTTATCAAAACTGAGAACATTGGTTTTGTGGTTTGAATATTTGCCCCCTCCAGAATTCATTTTGAAATTTAATCCCCAGTATGGATATATTGAAATGTAAGGCCTTTGAGAGGTCACTGGGTCACAAGGCCTCTGTCCTCACGAAGGACGAATCCATTCATTGATTAATGGGGTTATGGGAGTGAGACTGGTGGCTTTGTAAGAGAAGTAAGAGAGACTTGAGCTAGCATGCTTAGCTTCCTTGACATATGATGCCCTGTACCTCCTTGGGTCTCTGCTGAGTCCACACCAGCAAGAAGGCCCTCACTAGATGTATCCTTTTGACTTTGGACATCAGCCTCCATAACTGTAAGGAAAGGAATAAATTCCTTTTCTTTACAAATTACACAGCTTCAGATATTCTGTTGTGAGCAACAGAAAATGAACTAAGACAATTTGTATATCACTGTTAACTCCAGATTTGATTTGGATTTCACCACTTTTTTTTCATTAATATTCTGTTCCAGGAATCAATGACACTGCATTTACTTGTCATGCTTTTTAGTTGCCTCTAGTCTGTGATAGTTTCTCAACTTAGCTTTCCATATTTTTCATGCCCTTGACAGTTGTAAGGAGTGCTGGTCAGGTAGCCTGTAGAATACCATCTCATCTGGCCTTCTCTGTTGTGTTTTTCACAATTAGACTAGAGTTAAGGTTTTTGGCAAGAACATGACAGAGGAAAATTGCCCTTCTAATCACATCATATCAGGGAGTATTTGTGAGTTTTGATAAATGCATCAGGGAGTATGTGATATCTACATGACATCATTGGTAATGCCAACTTTTATCCCTTTGTGTAAGTATCATTTATTGTTTTCCACTGTAAAGTTACTATTTTTCCCTTTCATGCTCTGCTTATTGAAAGCAAGTTAGTACGTCCAGCCCACACTCAAAAGGTGAGGGGACAAAGCTGTGTCTTTTGAAAGGGAGATAACTACGTATGTCATTTAGAATTCTGTAAGGAAGATTATCTTTTCTCCTCCATTTATTTATTCTGTGTGAAGTCATGGATATTTATTCTTTGGGCTATCATCTAATATCAAATTATTGATTGTTTCATTGTTCCAGTTCTGGCCATTAGGAATTCCTTCATTTTGGCTTCTGTATTTCTTTCACGTGACCCCATCCTTTTAATTTTTTTTTCTTTTTGAACATTTCCTTTCTGGTGCTAGAAGGTGTGCTCTGGACTCATTTTGTGTTTTCCCTATCTTAGTGCTGGAATCAGCCATTTCTCTAAGGAGCTCTGGTTGCCTTTATTGGAGAATTGCATTTAGAAATCAAGATCTAGACTCTGGGAGTGCTCTTTGCTACTGGGTGTCATGCCTTTCTCTCAGAGAATAGAGCTAGGGTAAGGTATGTATGTGTAATAGAATACATATACACTATGTACTTACCCATATATTCATGCATATCTATAATTGGTTCTGTACTTATTCTGTGTATGTATATTAAACTAAACATGAGTTCATAGTGATGTCTTTGTCTTTAATCCAGTACCATAGGTCAGAGTTCATTCTGTCTTTCTCTTCTAGTTCTAACTGTAACTCTGCTCCTGACAGTGAGAGCCAGGCTCCATTACTTACTAATTTAAGCCTAGTATATATGCAAAGCAGTTGCAGAATTGTTACCTGCTCCCTGCTACCAGGAAAAGCCGTGTTGATAAGAGTACATTGTTGATGTACAGTTCCTTTATCATCCATATAGTTTTCAGTCATTTCACTGATTTCCAAAGTTAGTTAGCTTCCTCATCACCACAGTCACTTCACTGAGGTTATGTCATAATGTATAATTCAGTTAGGTTCTGAGAAAGAAAAAATCTGTTTCCCCAAATGACTAGATCCCCCTCTCAGCCAAGGGGACCCCAGAGAAAGCTGAAAAAATGAATTCCTGGCCAAGATAGATTGGGAGCTTGGACATACTTTGTAATACTTCCTCCCTCGTTAGCCACCATTAGGCTTTCTTCCCTAAGAGTTAAACAGAATTTTTCCCCTGCTAATTTCAAGCAACCACCTAACTGTTGCCTTCTTTTTGCAATTTTGACACAGCAGCTGACCAGCATTCCTTCCTAATAAAAGACCAGTGATGATGGAGTGGTTCTGGCCAGTCTGTGGAGGGAGGCTGCACACAGTGGGACTCCATTTCCTCTGTTTCATCTTTTGATGTATAGGGCCTAATTGTGATACATTTAATTGTTGTCTCCAACCCAGAGTTAACGTGGCATGCATGTTGCATATATGTTGGCTTACTGTACGTGCATGTGCCTCCTGTTTGTGAATATTCATAGCTCCTCCTATAACCTCTTGAATATGTTTGTGTAGCCAGCCAGTTCAGCATAAATTCCCATTTCATCTTTCCCTGGCTAGAAGTGCTTGCTCTTGACTTCTGCCAGAGGCTGTGCTTCCCAGCCTGTGGGTTGGTCAGCCTGCAGCCTCTTTTATGAGAAGTAAAGCTGTCTTTTCCAAACTTACGAATCTCTGATTCTTCAGTTGACAGTTCATCTGTCATAGTCTGCATGCCGTATTGGAATTCCCTGATATCCTGGGTAATTTTTTTCCTTTTTAAAAGATAGTTCATGCTATGGTTTGAATGTATGTGTCCTTCCAAAATTCATATGTTGGAGCCTAATACCAAATGTGTTGGTATTAAGAGGTGGGGCTTTTTGGGAAGTGATAAGTCATGAGCACCCCACCCTTATGGATTAGTGTTCTTATAAAAGAGGTTGAAGGGAGTTAACTAGTCCTTTTTGCCCTTGTCCTTCCTTGTGCCATGTGTGGATACACAGAACTCATGAAAAATAAGGTCTTACCAGTCTCTGAATCTTGAACTTGAACTTGCCTTGATCTTGATTTTGAACTTCCTAGCCTCTATAACTGTTAGAAACAAATTTCTGTTCTTTATAAATTACCCAGTTAAAGGCATTTTGCTGTAGCAGCAGGAATGGACTAAGACAGTTGGTGTACATTAAAGTTCACTGTTTGTGATGCACATTTCTGTGAGTTTTGACAAATTTATAAATGGTGTGCCCACCACCCCAATACCACGCAGAGGAGTTCCATTCCCTTACAATTTTCCATGCTTCCACTTTGTAGTCAGCTGCTTCCCCTTCCCCCAACTCCCTCTCCCTCCTCTGGGGATTGAGATTGACTGCCTTGTTAAATTTTCCTTTTCTTTTGTCCCCAATTCCTTTTCTTCAGCTGTTGTTGACAAGCACTAAGGTCCTTAGGCTATGGTCTTAAAGTGCTTCTCTTTTGAGATGAAGACTTTTATTTAGTAGGCCTCTATTTCCTTCCCCCACTGGAATGAGACATCAGAGCCCTAGGGCTACAAGCTTGAGGTTTTCCTTCCCCTCCCTGCAGATAAAGCCTTTTGTTCTGTGTGGGAGATAAAGGGAAAGGATTTAGCAGTAATCTCTGTTTCCCTCCTGAGCCCGCACCCTCTGGCTCCTGTCTTTGCTAGGAAAGCCTGGTTGGGTTCCAGGAAAAAAAGTCAGGAAGAGAGTGGGAAATGTTAACTAAGATTAACATTTTTAGTTAATCTTTCTTATGGCTTATGCCCCTGGTAAGCAGGGGCGGCTGCTTCACTTCTAATTACAACATTCATGTAGATTTCTCTTTAGACTAATTTATAGCCATTGAGACAGACAAGTGTCTGATCTTTGACAAACCTGACTAAAAGAAGCAATGACAAAAGGATAACTTATTCAATAAATGGTGCTGGGATAACTGGCTAGCTAGATGTGGAGAATTGAAACTGGACCCCTTCCTTAGACCATATACAAAAATTATCTCAAGACGAATTGAAGACTTAAATGTAAAACCCAAAGCGGTAAAAACCCGGAAGACAACCTAGGCCGTATCGTTCTGAACATAGGAATGGGCAAAGATTTCATGACGCAGATGCCAAAAACAATAACAACAAAAGCAAAAATTGACAAATGAGATCTTATTAAAGTAAAGAGCTTCTGTACAGAAAAAGAAACTATCAACAAACATACAAGCTACAGAATGGGAGAAAATGTTTGCAAACTATGCATCTGACAAAGGTCCAATATCCAGCATCTATAAGAAACTTAAATTTATGAGAGAAAAAAAACTTTTCAGAAGAAGATACACATGCGGCCAACCACATATGGAAAAAAAAAAAGCTCAGTATCACTGATCATTAGAGAAATGCAAAACAAAACCATGATGAGATACCATCTCACACCAGTCAGAATGACTATTATTAAAGTCAAAAAATAACAGATGCTGGGAGGTTGTGGAGAAAAGGGAACGTGTATACACTGTTGATGGGAGTGTAAATTAGTTCCACCGTTGTGGAAAGCAGTGTGGCGATTTCCTCAAAGAGCTAGAAACAGAACTATCATTCGACCCAGCAGTTCCATTACTGGGTGTATACTAAAGGAATATAAATTACACTACCATAAAGACGCAGGCACACATATGTTCACTGCAGGACTATTCACAATAGTAAAGACATGGAATCAACCCAAATGCCCATCAGTAGCAGATTGGATAAAGAAAATCTGGTACATATACCCCATAGAATACTATGCAGCCATAAAAAAGAAGAAGTTGTGACCTTTGCAGGAACATGGAGGGGACCTGGAGGCCATCATCCTTAGCACACTAATGCAGGAACAGAAAACCAAATACCGCATGTTCTCACTTATAAGTGGGAGCTAAATGACGTGAACACATGGACACAAAGAGGGAAACAACAGACACTGGGGCCTACTTGAGGGTCGAGATAGGAGGAGGGAGAGGCGCAGAAAAAAATAACTGTTGTATTCTAAATTTATGTGACAGTCTGTACAACAAACCCCCATGACATGAATTTAATTATGTAACAATCCTGCGCATGTACCCTGGAACTATAATAAAAGTAAAAAAAAAAAACTTAACACTGTTTCCTAGCATTTAGAAAAATAAATCCATGTGTATCTATCTGTGAAAAAAAGTGTCAGACTGTTTTTTTCAGGTTCTGTAAGTTTATCCTTCCCCAGTACGTTTGTTTACTTGTACTCAAGAGTATATCGGGGGTGTGTGTGTGTGTGTGTGTGTGTATCAGACTTTGATAATTGTCAATATGATTACAAAATATATCTTACTATTGCTAAAGTTTTGATATTTCTCATTAGAGAAACTCAGAAATTCAGATGAAATTGAAACACAACTTTTTCTGTTTAATAATTGTTCCTGTAACTTTAAGCGAATATAAATTATTTCTATTTTTATCTGATAATTTTAACAAAAATTAACTCCAATATTAAATGTGCAACTTGATTTCATAAAGGAGAACTTAAACATTGTGTAAACGTTGCTTAATGCAGTCAAAATATGTACTTTTAGTTATTAGATTTTTGCTAATAAGTATGCTGTTTAGTTTTAATTGGCATTCTCCAGTTAAAATTTTCCAATTTCAATTTTCAATTTTACATTACACACTTTTCCCATGCAAGATTTTAAGTGTTGCCTTTACATAAAGGAATGTGTTAAGAATGGTGGTGCCATTTTCAACATACCTGACACAAACAAGCAATGGGGAAAGGATTTCCTATTTAATAAGTGGTGCTGGGAAAACTGACTAGCCATATGCAGAAAGCTGAAACTGGACCCCTTCCTTACACCTTGTACAAAAATTAACTCAAGATGAATTAAAGACTTAAATGTAAAACCCAAAACAGTAAAAACCCTAGAAGAAAACTTAGGCAGTACTATTCAGGACATAGGCATGGGCAAAGACTTCATGACCAAAACACCAAAAGCAATTGCAACAAAAGCCAAAATTGACAAATGGGATCTAATCAAACTAAAGAGCTTCTGCACCACTAAAGAAACTATCATCAGAGTGAACATGAACAGGCAACCTACAGAATGGGAGAAAAGTTTTGCAATCTACCCATCTGACAGAGGTCTAATATCCAGAATCTCCAAGGAACTGAAACAAATATACAAGAAAAAACAACCCTATCAAAAAGTGGTCGAAGGATATGAACAGACACTTCTCAAAAGACATGTGTACGGCCGACAAACATGAAAAAAAGCTCATTACTGGTCATTAGAGAAATGCAAATCAAAACCTCAGATACTATCTCACGCCAGTTAGCATGGCGATTATTAAAAAGTCAGGCAGGCTCACGCCTGTAATCCCAGCACTTTGGGACGCCGAGGCGGGCGGATCACGAGGTCAGGAGATTGAGACCATCCTGGCTAACACGTTGAAACCCCGTCTCTTTAAAAATACAAAATATTAGCCCCGTGTGGTGGTGGGTGCCTGTAGTCCCAGCTACTTGGGAGGCTGAGGCAGGAGAATGGCGTGAACCTGGGAAGCGGAGCTTGCAGTGAGCTGAGATGGCGCCACTGCACTCCAGCCTGGTCGACAGAGTGAGACTCCGTCTCAAAAAAAATAAAAAGCCAGGCAACAACAGATGCTAGTGAGGCTGTGGAGAAATAACACTTTTACACTGTTGGTGGGAGTGTAAATTCAACCATTGTGGAAGACAGTGTGGCGATTCCTCAAGGATCTAGAACCAGAAATACTGTTTGACCCCGCAATCCCATTTCTGAGTGTGTACCCAAAGGATTATAAATCATTCTGTTACAAAGATACGTGTACACGTATGTTTATTGCAGCACTATTTACAGTAGCAAAGACTTGGAGCCAACCCAGATGCCCATCAATGATAGACTGGATAAAGAAAATGTGGCACATACACACCATGGAATACTAAGCAGCCATAAAAAAACAATGAGTTTGTGTCCTTTGCAGGGACATGAATAAAGCTGGAAGCCATGATTCTCAGCAAAATAACACAGGAAAAGAAAACCAAACACCATATGTTCTCACTCATAAGTGGGAGTTGAACAATGAAAACACATAGACACAGGGAGGGAAACATCACGCACCGGGGTCTGTTGGCGGGTGGGGGGCAAGGGGAGGGAGAACTTTAGAACAAATACCTAATGCACGCAGGGCTTAAAACCTAGATAACAGATGGGTGCAGCAAACCACCATGGCACATGTATACCTATGTAACAAACCTCCACATTCAGTACATGTATCCCAGAACTTAGAATAGTGATGCCATGAGTCCTGATGGTTGGGTATAGCAGAGTACTGGGAAATCACTGTGTAGTTAAAACTGTGTTCCTGACAGGTGTTTTATTAGTTAGTACTGCAAAATCAATGATTAAGTCTGTCGTATTATAATCTGGCTGCAAACTACTTATTCTGCCTACCCTTTCACCACTCATTTCCTCAGCTAGCCTTTGTTCCACTAACGTTTTAACATCTTAAGAAACATTTCCAAATAATCATTGCTTATGGCTTAGCATGTGCGGTTTCCTCTACCTGGAATTCTCATCTCCCCTTTTTCTTGGGATACATCAAGCCCCAACTCAAATATTCTCTCTATTTTCAAGTTGACCATAGCTACAATAGTAAGAATTATTTGCCCTCTCTTATTCATCTTTGCTCTCTCAGCATGTAACGTAGAGCTTTATATACAGTAGTAAATTAAAAGATTTAAGAGTATTTCAAAGTCCAAGAAATTCTAGACTGGGGTCTATAGTAAGTCAGTTTATTCAGTTGGCTCAGAAATAAAAATTTAGGAGGTGTGTATGATTTGCTTTGGAATCGTCCATCTACATAATCTAAATAACTTTTAGAAACTTGTAAGATGTACCTATTCATTCCTTTAGTTGCCATTAATATGCAAGATTTGCATTTGATATGCATGTTTTGATGTTGGCTTGTGATAAAAACTTAAGAAATTTTATCATAAAGTTATTCTTTGTTTATACAGAGAATGTCCAAGCACACAGATGCAGCAGCAGATGTGCTATTGGAAAAAAAAGGTTGTGCGGGAGTCATAACACTAAACAGACCAAAGTTCCTCAATGCACTGACTCTTAATATGATTCGGCAGATTTATTCACAGCTAAAGGTTTGTAATTTTCTTATTGCAGTTATATGGATTCTTCTCAAAGTATATCATAATAGGACACTTCTGGTATTTTCTCCCATAGAATCACATAATTATCTGGGATCTGCATCTCAGTAAGCCCCACTGATTCTTGAGGTTTCAGTGTTTCCCCTGTGCAGTTATTCTTGAGCATCCCTGGTGATAGGGAGCTCACTGTCTCCTGAGGCAGATTCTTTGACTTTTATATAGCACTGATTTGTTTGCAAGTTTCTTTTTGTGTTCTGGCACTCTGTGTTTCTCTGACCTTTAAACTAGTGATACTTTTTCTGCCTCTGAGAGAATGAGTGTACAAATCTAATCTGCTTCCACCTGATGACCTTTTCATTTGAAGACAGCTGCTTTTTTTTTTTTTGTTTTGAGACAGGAGTCTTGCTCTGTCGCCCAGGCTGCAGTGCAGTGGTACCATCTTGGCTCACTGCAAGCAGGCTCCGCCTCCCGGGTTCACGCCATTCTCCTGCCTCAGCCTCTGGAGTAGCTGGGACTACAGGCGCCTGCCATCACACCCGGCTAATTTTTTGTGGTAGAGACGGGGTTTCACTGTGTTAGCCAGGATGGTCTCAATCTCCTGACTTCGTGATCTGCCCACCTCGGCCTCCCAAAGTGCTGGGATTACAGGTGTGAGCCACTGTGCCCAGCCAGACAGCTACTTTTAAACTGCCTGCTTTTTCTCAGAGAAGGCCATAAACTCTCGTAAGTGAACAGCATGGAATAGTAGAAAAACAGGACTTAAAGTCAGACTGTCTGGTTTGAAACTTGGATTTCTATTTATTAACTGTGTAAGCTGGGAAAGTTAATCTCTCCGTACCTCAATCTCCTCAGCTCTGAAATGGGGATGATGATATGTAAAGATTAAGTGAATAGTGTATGTAAGTACCTAATGTAGTCTGCCATGCAGATGTAGAACAAATCCCAGTTTTCCCCTGACGACCAGTTCTTTAATTCTTCATTTGATGAGTCTGTCTTCCATTCTTGTGTTTCTGTTTGAGATACCATTATAATATGTCTCAAAATGTGATACATAGAAATAAGCCAAATGTTGCAAATAATAGAGTTGGGCCAGAGTGGAAGAAATTAGAAATGTTCATGTTATAATAACATTTCTATTAATGTAATTAATATAGTCCAGTATTGCGCGAACCGTTTGGACAATCACGTCTGTCCAGCTACGTCTTCCTTGTGCGTTACATATTTATTCTGTAGTACAGGTTGAACATCCTTAATTCAAAATGCTACAAAATTCAAAAACTCTATAAGTATGGACATGACGCCGCAAGTGGAAAATTCCACACCTGGCCTCATGATGGGTTGCAGTCAAAACACAAGTGCCCGACACACTGTTTATTCAGCATCCCTAAGGGAAAAAATTAATTACCTTCAGGCTATGTGTATGAGGTATATATGAAACCTAAAGGAATTTCCAATCCCCAAGATATGTTATTCTGTATATGCAAATATTCTAAAATCTAAAAAAGTCTGAAACACTTCTGGTCCCAAGCATTTCAGATGAGGGATACTCAACCTGTATAGATTGATAGAACCCCTGTTAAGTTTTCTGTCTGTAGGTAACTAATTTTTCATTTCGTCCATTGTTCTGGATTTTCACATTTTCATTGGCTCTTGATTCTTTCATCCTACTTATTTGTTAGCTGTCTTTACCAATCCCAAATCCCTTGGATTTTTTATCAATATTATACGTGGTTTCACTCTGTTACTTATACATTAAGAGTAAGACAGTGAGCCCTGTATCAGCACAGTAGAAAGGTTATTGCTATATTTATCAGCAGTCTTTGGGTCGATTTGTTCTCCAAATTTATACGTTTATGTAACATCATTATTATGCCCATATTTGTTCATCTTGGTATCAAAGTTATGGCAAAGATTTCAGGTGCCATCTTGAAATTTGGATCACACAATGTACTCGTCTAGCAACCTTTTGAAATAGCCTAAGCCTCTACTTTATCTGGGAAAAGCAAATGAAGTTCATTCAGTGAAGAATGGGATGAGATTTGTTCTTCTGGATATCCCTTATATAAGAATATGTACTGTCACACACATATATGTATATGAATATATTATTGTGTATATGTGCATATGCATATAACTTTAATGAGTTTGTGTTTATAATATGTTTATATCATCTTCTGTTACATTTGAATAGAAGTGGGAACAAGATCCTGAAACTTTCCTGATCATTATAAAGGGAGCTGGAGGAAAGGCTTTCTGTGCTGGGGGTGATATCAGAGGTAAAAACTTTTCCCTTTCACCTGAATGCTTCCCCGCCCCACTAAAACTGATCAAGTATTGTCAAATTTTTGTAGTAATTTGTAATTTGCTTTACTTCTTAGAACTTTTTATTATAAAGTTAATACATTCTTAACTTAGAAAAAAGAAAAATTTGAAGACTTAACTTTCTGCAGTTAGTATTAGCAAACGAGGAGAATAGCTGATATTTTTTCTCACTACACAAATACCCTTTCGAAATTTAAATATGTTGTCTCTCTCCCTGAATCATCACAAATAAAATGTCCAGTTAGGGTATATGAGTCCACTTTATATTTTAGAACAGCTGATATTAAGCAGTTCTGCTAGTCTTATGACCTATCTGGCCATGTTGACTTGCCATTCTCCAAAAATGACGTGCTCTCACATGTTCATAATTTTTCCTATGCTTCCCACTAGTCATGATCCCAAAGCAACCATCTTCTATGTACTTATTTATAGCATTTATCCTGTTACATTGTAAATATACTTTACATGTGTTTAAACATGCTGAGATAAAGAGAAACTGTCTTTATTTTTCATAGTTGTTCAGGTCAGTCTGTCTATACACATTTAAATGTTAAAGACAAAAGAGAAGAAATGTCTGTTCTCAGCATCATTGTCATGGTCATAATCACTATAATCATGATTATAGTATAATCAGAGTATATTATATTATATATAGTATATTATACTCTGAGTATATATAGAGACACTGATGCTGAGAACAGACATTATAGTATAATCATGATTATAGTCATAATCACTATAATTGTCCATATTATATATACAGTATATTGAAACTTTTTACATTTTGTATTTTGTTCCTTGTGGAATTGGTAGGGTTCGGGGATTGTTTTTTTGTTTGTGTTTTAATTTTATTTGTTTGTTGTATTAAGACAACCATCTTTGGGCTTGTTCACCAAACTTATGTAAACCATTACCTTAGGAATAGGAAAAAAGCTGGATTCAGGATATAATTTCAGACACTTATTAATGAATTTTAAAATTGCAGTTTAATGAAAACTTTGCTTAAACTGATCTGTTAACTGAATTGTTTTTGAAATCTGTTGTTTTGCCTACAACATGCATTTTTAAATTATTATTTATTTATTTATTTATTTACTTTTTTGAGACAGAGTTTCACTCTTGTCACCCTGGCTGGAGTGCAGTGGCGTGATCTCTCCTCGCTGCAACCTCTACCTCCTGGGTTCAAACAATTCTCCTGCCTCAGCTTCCTCAGTAGCTGGGATTACAGGTGCCTGCCACTATGCCCTGCTAATTTTTGTATTTTTGGTAGAGACGGGGTTTCACCATGTTGGCCAGGCTGGTCTTGAACTCTTGACCTTAGGCGATCCGCCTGCCTCAGCCTTCCAACAACATGCATATTTTTAAAATACTGTTTTTCAGCCTTGAGTTAGCCTTTCATCTGGCCTGTGATCTTGTCAGTTTTGTGTGTTGAGTTTATTAGCTGCTTCTGACTGAGCTATTTCTGCATATAGGCCTAATTTTATACTGATGTTTGGAAATAACAGTTACAAATTGTAGAATTATTGTAGTTTACACATATAAAGCAGTGGATTCAAGTCCAGGAAATGTAGTTCCTTGAAAGATTGTAGTCCAAAACGATAAGTGGACACTCAGAAAATTTTCAAAAAATGATTGTGAAGGACATTTAACTTTAATTTAGATGGAACTAATTGATTAGAATAAAAATTAGGTCAGAAAAAGATTTGAAGGAAATTTGAGAAGGTTTTTGAGGTAAAAGAGTTTCATTCCAAAGACGATAAAACTTATGTTCCTTTCCTTTTAGAATTGGTGAGCAGTTATAAGAGCTGAATAAAAGATGATAGACAATGACAGTAATTTTTTGTTTGTTTGTTTAGGTATATATGAGTGAAACCTCAGAGTGGTAAAAGTAGATGTCAGATCTTTCTTTTAAAAACCAGTAAAAGGGCTGGGTGCAGTGGCTCACACCTGTAATCTTAGCACTTTGGGAGGCTGAGGTGGGAGGATTACCTGAGCTCAGGAGTTCAAGACCAGCTTGGGCAACATGGTGAAACCCCGTCTCTACTAAAATACAAAAAAGAAAAATTATCCGGGCGTGGCGGCATGCGCCTGTATTCCCAGCTACTTGGGAGGCTGAGCCAGGAGAATTGCTTGAACCTGGGAAGTGGAGGTTGCAGTGAGCCGAGATCACGCCACTGCATTCCAGCCTGGCGACAAGGCAATACTCCGTTTCAAAAACAAACACCCCAAAAAACTAGGAAAAGAAGTCAACATATGAAACATTTTGAAGGAAGAGATAACAGAATTCTAGAGTTAGGAGGCCCAAGCCGGCAGATCACCTGAGGTTGGGAGTTTGAGACCAGCCTGGCGAATATAGTGAAACCCCGTCTCTACTAAAAATACAAAAATTAACCGGGCTTGGTGGCGCATGCCTGTAATCCCAACTACTTGGGAGACTGAGGCAGGAGCATTGCTTGAACCCGGGAGGTAGAAGTTGCAGTGAGCCAAGAGCCAAGATTGTGCCACTGCCCTCCAGCCTGGGTAACAAAGCGAGATTCTGTCTCAAAACAGACAAAAAACAAACAAGAGAATTCTAGAGTTAGTGTAAAAATCGGTAGACAACATTTTGTGTGTAATACTTTCCCATAAAGGAGGAAACATATTTATGAAATGTTTAGTTTGTGTTTTAATAGATAAATCTCAAAGGACTTAAAGATAGGAAAGGCATATGAGTTGCAGTATATAGAAGAGGAAACTTTGTTAGCAGTCTTGAGATTGACTGGAGGAAGAATACGGTAGGAGATGTGAACTCTGGGTAATAGAAGATTGCAATAGAAGTGAAACCATTTGATAGTGTTCACTATTCAGTAGATATTTACTGAGCATTTGTTTTTTAAGCCAGGTAATGGTATGCTGCAGCAATGTCTTTGAGAAGTTACATTTATATTTATGTTAGTAAATAAGAATGTCAGTATATTATTTACCTGTCTAGCCTCACCTTTTCCCTTTGCCCTTTAGTCTTTTAAACTGTTTGATTCTTGATTTTACTCTTCTTTCTTGACTTTGAGGCTTTGTAGGGTACTACTTCCCCTACTCAGAATTTTTCTTCCTGTCATTTTCTAGGAAATTCCTATTTACCTTTTCAAACTTGGCTTAGGGTTACCTCTTCTAGGAAGCCTTCTTTTAATTAATTACACATCTCCTGCTCCCATTCTCACAGCACCCCAATTCTTATAGGAGAAAGAATATGTTTTAGTATCAATCTGAACTCCAGGACAGCCATCTTGTGTTGCTGTCTTTATTATCTGCAACACCTAAAACATTACTTGGTATGTAGTAGATGCTCAGTAAATGTTTCATGGGGGAAATGAATGTGACAGAAATATTTAAGGACATGGGGTACATTGTAGCACTATACACACACAGGTATAATACATTTTGTATTAAGATATATTACCAAAAGAAATGTATGTCTAGCAAATGTTAATTTAAGTGCTAGAGAAAATAATCAAAATCAAATGTGGTTTGCTACAATATATTATTATTTTTTTTTAAAGACACAGGGTGTCACTCTTCTGTCCAGGCCAGAGTACAGTGGTATGATCCTGGCTCACTGTAGCCTCAGTATCCTGGGCTCAAGTGATCCTCCCGGCTCAGCCTCCTGAGCAGCTGGTACTACAGGCACATGGCACTGCAGCCAGCTAATAAAACATTTTTTGTTGAGTCTCACCAGGCTGGTCTCAAACTCCTGGCCTCAAGGAATCCTCCCACCTGGTTTCTCAAAGTGCTGCAATTACAGGTTTGAGCCACCATGCCCAGCCTGTAATTTCTGATGTAACATTTTGTAAGAAGCATGGAAAACAAGAATAGGAATTTTTGCCTCGAAGCTTTGACATTGGACTATGGATCTGTGACTGTAATATAATTTCTGTGGCAGGGGCAACTTCAAAACTTTAACAAGTCATTTTAGAGTACTCCCTTTCCCCCAGTATTTAATTATCATAATACTTTTGATCTAGTTGACAACATTGACTATTAAATCGTTTTTTTTTTATTTGTAATCTTTCCTTCCTAGTGATCTCGGAAGCTGAAAAGGCAAAACAGAATATAGCTCCAGTTTTCTTCAGAGAAGAATATATGCTGAACAATGCTGTTGGTATGTGTGTTCTGCTCAGAGCTTTGGAATGGAATAAAGAAATGAGGTGGACAACCGGGTACAGTGGCTCACGCCTGTAATCCCAGCACTTTGGGAGGCTGAGGCGGGCGGATCACGAGGTCAGGAGTTCGAGACCTTTCTGGCTAACACAGTGAAACCCCATCTCTACTAAAAGTGCAAAAAATTAGCCGGGCGTGGTAGTGGGTGCCTGTAGTCCCAGCTACTCGGGAGGCTGAGGCAGAGAATGGCATGAACCTGGGAGGCGGAGCTTGCAGTGAGCTGAGATAGCGCCACTGCACTCCAGCCTGGGCGACAAAGCGAGACTCCATCTCAAAAAAAAAAAGGAAATGAGGTGGATGTATGTACTTTGTTAAAAATGTAATCAATAGGCAGTCTTACTTAAACTTTTAATACCATGTGCCAGGCGTAAATAAAGTTGATTAAACAATTTTGAGTGCTTATTTAAAAACAGTAACCCTTTAATATTAGTAGGCTATACTTAACTGCTGTTTGTTAAAAAGTCAGTATGAGGCCGGGTGCGGTGGCTCATGCCTGTAATCCCAGCAATTTGGGAGGCTGAATGGGTGGATCACCGGAGGTCAGGAGTTTGAGACCAGCCTGGCCAACATGGTGAAACCCCATCTCTATTAAAAATACAAAAATCAGCTGGGTGCGGTGGCACGTGCCTATAATCCCAGCTACTCGGGAGGCTGAGGCAGGAGAATCAGCTTGAATCTGGGAGGTGGAGGTTGCAGTGATTTGAGATCGCACCACTGCACTCAGCCTGGGCAACAAAGCGAGACTACGTCTCAAAAAAAAATCAGTATGAGAATATGGATTTCTGATCATGTGGTAGCTTTAGCTTTCTTGGGGGGAAAAACCTTGGGTTCCAGTTTTCTCTATAAAATGAAGTATATAGTATCATTTCCTAATTCTTAAAGAACTTGGGAATAAAAATTTCTTTATATTCAAGGTTCAAGGTTTCATTGGAGGTGAAGCAGTGTTTTTATCAAGCATGTGTTTCAAAAGTTAAGATACAGGAAGTAACATAATAAGTACTTGTGTACCCTCTAGCCCAGAATTAACAGACATCAATATTTTATTTTTGCTTGATGATTTAAAATGTCTTCAAAAGAAATATAATACTGCAAGTCTGGAAGTTACATTTCAGTTCATTTTTTTGCTTTCCTCAGTGCCATTACTTTCCCCAGAAGCAACCATTTATCCCTCCTCAAAAACAACCATTGTCATTAATTTTCAGTGTATTCTCCTAGACCATATTTGACATTTTTACTAAATATTTATGAACTAAAATATCTTAAGTTAGAATTTGATTGAGTACGTGATATTAAAGTATTTTGACATAGTTGAAAAAATAAATTCAGTTTTTCTCACATGCCTTTTAGACAAACGTATTTATATATTGGCATAAAAACATGGATTAATATCTAGTAGATTAAACACATGGGGATATATATGTTTTTGTAAAAACATGAATTGATGAAAATAATTACTAAGTGATGAAAAAAGCTGTGCAATAATTTAACATTGAAGTATTTAAAATAGTAAAACATAAGTTTATTTTAATTTTATTATTTATTCATCTATCTTTTGAGACAGAGTCTTGCCCTGTCACCCAGGCTGGAGTGCAGTGGTGCGATGTTGGCTCACTGCAGCCTCTGTCTCCCAGGTTCAAGTGATTCTCCTGCCTCAGCCACTTGAGTAGCTGGGATTACAGGCATGCACCACCACACCCGGCTAATTTTTGTATTTTAATTAAGGACAGGTTTCACCATGTTGGCCAGGCTGCTGTCGAACTCCTGACCCTAGGTGATCCACCTGCCCCGGCCTCCCAAAGTGCTGGGATTACAGGCGTGAGCCATCGCACCTGCGGTGTATAAGTTTAAATGTATAAGTTTAAAGACAAAATAGAAATGCAGAACATTGTATCATATTTTATACAGCAAAGTAGACAAATAGAGGCTGCCATTTTTTAAGCTTTCCAATTCCTTTTGTTTTTTAGCTTTTATTTTAGGTTTGAACTAAAAGATTTTTACTTTGTATTTAGAAATTTACATAAATACTATCTTACTGTGTATACCATTCCATAAATTGTTTTTAACAACATGGAATATAACTGTTCTGTGGTGTCCAATATTATGATTATATCCCACGTTAATTATCTGTTCTACATTAATGGATATTTTAGCTTCCAATAGTTACTAACATAGATAGTTGTACTCTTGTACGTGCTCCCTTATTTCCCATGCGCAAAAGTTTCTCCAGAAATAATATGTAGAATGGATAGATCATAGTGTTTATGCATCATTACTTTGTTTCCAAATTCTTTAAGATGCGTTTTCTACATGTCTTTTGTCTTGGCTGCTGTTGGACTTTGGGTCTTCCATATGAATTTTAGAATTGTTTCATCTGGTTTCACAAAAGTTTCTACTGAGATTATGACTAGACTTAGAATGAATTATGGGTTAATTTGGAGAGAGTTGACATCTTTGAGATGGAGTCTTCTCAACCATAATGTAGCATAGCTCTTCCTTTTTTTTTGTTTTTTTTAAAGATAGGGTCTTGGTCTGTTGCCCAGGCTGGAGTGCAGTGGCGTGATCACAGCCCACTGCAACCTCAACCTCCTATGCTTAAGTGATCAAGTGTTCCTCCCACCTCAGCTTTCTGAGCAGCTGGGAGCACAGGTGCTTGCCACCACACCTGGCTATATATTTTTTAAGAGATGGGGTTTTGCTGTATTGCTCAGACTTATCTCATACTGCTGACCTCAAGCAATCTTCCCACCTTGGCCTCCCAAAGAGCTTAGATTACAGGTGTCAGCCACCACACTGGGCCCTGGTTTTTTGTTTAAAATCAAAGGTTAAGTTGTTAAATGATAATGAATAGATAGGATTGTGTTGGATTGACATTTAAAAATACGTATTTTATAAGCCATACATTTAGTCATCTTTGGTGTTTCTTGCTAAAATTTCCTAGGAAGAATCTTGAGTATATATAATGTGGGTTTTTTTTTAGAAAAAGGGAATGTATTATAAACACTGTAACTAAAATTACAGCTCTATTTCTTTCAGGTTCTTGCCAGAAACCTTATGTTGCACTTATTCATGGAATTACAATGGGTGGGGTAAGTAGACTTTTTACTCCAATCATTGATGTGAGTTGTATTAAAAATAAGTTAATAATTATTAAACAGAAGTGAGCTGATGAATGTAATATAATAGACCTCGTTGAAACATAATTGTGTGGATTTTGGATCCTGACAGATTTGAGATATAGTATTTGCTTATAGCACTTTTAGACTATCCCAGCCCAAAAGAATGTTTTATGTTCTTAATTATGTTATATGGCTGGGCATGGTGCCTCACATCTGTAATCCCAGCACTTTGGGAGGCCAAGGTGGACGGATCACTTACGTTAGGAGTTTGAGACCAGCCTCGCCTACATGGTGAAACCCTGTTTCTATTAAAAATACAAAAATTAGCTGAGCATGGTGGCACACACGTGTGATCTCAGCTGCTCAGGAGGTTGAGGCACGATAATTGCTTGAACCCAGGAGGTGGAGCTTGCACTACTGCACTGAGATTGCACTACTGCACTCCAGCCTGGGTAACAAAGTGAGACTGTCTCAAAAAATAAAAAAAAAATACACACACACACACACACACACACATTATATGCTATTTTAATTTTTTGAATTAGCAAGTTTTTTTAAGCAATGGAAACTTTATCTTTTAATATATAGAGCCTTTTTTCTACTTAAAAATAGGAACTTCAGAAGACAAACTAGAATGTTGAGTTTTTTTTTTTTAATTCAGTATTAGAGATTTGGTTGCCTAAATTGTACCTGTTATTCAAAATTTCACCTTAGTGGAAGTGTTTGGATTCTTTATGAAGTTCTCTATAACTGCATTTCTGTCAGTTGACAAATATTCTGCCTCTGTGCTATTACAGAGAAGTCTAAAATGTAACTGACATTGATTAACTTGACCTGGAGTTAGAGAAAACATGAAATAATTACAAAACAATTGGTAAATTGTAAGGTACTGACAAAGATTAGCCTTTAAAGAAGTGAGGGGTCAGAATGGGTCTTCATGGCAGGAAAGGGCTGCATGGAGAAGATGGTGAATTGAACTGAGCCTAGAAAGGTAGTGGAGGAGAGAAAAAGTAATGTCTTTTCCTCACCGATTGCAGGGGTCATGGCCAATATCCGTATAACAAAAGACAGATTAACAATAGAGAAGCATAACACATTTATTTAATCAAAGTTTTACATGACATGGGAGCCTTCAGAAATGAAGACCCAAAGACCCACAGATCCAGGAAAAACTGTGTTTTTGTGTGTAAGTTCAACGAACAATGGATGGTCACATAGAAGTATGATTGTACAAAAACGGTATTATTCATTAGTAATAAATGGGGGAACTTAGGTAGGCTTGTTTGTTGAGATTCTTCTTGGCCTCTCTGTGTAACATTCCTTTCCTCCAGGTATAGAATGGGGCCCTTGTCACATGAGGGTTTAATGACTTTCAAGGCCAGGTGTCGTGGCTCATGCCTGTAATCCTAGCACTTCGGGAGGCTGAGGTGGGTGAATCGCTTGAGGCCGGGAGTTCGAGACCAGCTTGGGCAACATGGCGAAACCCCATCTCTACTAAAACTACAAAAATCAGTTGGGTGTGATGGTGCGCACCAGTAATCCGAGCTACTGGGGAGGCTGAGGCACGAGAATTGCTTGAACCCAGGAGGTTGTAGTGAGCTGAGATCATGCCATTGCACTCCAGCCTGGGTGACAGAGCGAGACTCTGTGTCAAAAAAAAAAAAAAAAAAAAGAGACATACTTTCAGAAGAGGTAGGTTAGAGAACTTCTTTATGGCCAACTGTCCCACAAAAAGGTGGGGGAAAGTCACAGTGGCCTCCAAGTGGCCATAGTTTGGGGTAGCATGTCCTGAGCCATGACAATAGGTAGGACATAGGTAGGTAGGGCCCAGGTAGGTAGAGTCTAGGTAGGTAGGTAGTATGAGGCCAAAAGGTGGAATTTTTGAAATTCCACCTGTTCAGTGTTTTAAGGAACGATTTGGAATACAGGTAGTTCCCCACTTTGTTCTAGTAGAACCACCCTAAATAAGGACCGGAATTGCTTAGATCTTGCACATCATTTTGGGAAGGGATTCTACTAGCAAGGGCGATCTGTACCTCTCTGCTTCGCAGAAACTGAGTGTGGGTTGGTTGTGCTTTAACCTGGGGAAGATGAAAGCTCTCTGAAAAAAAATACTGTAGAATAAGAGGAAGGGAAAGAATCTGAAGCATTGAAGGAAGAGCTGCCCTGTGAATGTGAAAGAAACCAGGAGGAAATGAGGACAAAAACAATGGGCATACCCAACAGCATGAAAAATAAATGTGACCCCATTAAAACAGGAAAGAAATCCCATAAGGAGAGAGCAGACTCAGGTGAAAGGGCTACAAGTTGAGAAAGGGAAACAGATAACAGGGAGGATGACGGGGAACTAATACACAGTAGCAAAACTGACATTCTATTTTAATGGCATTAGATTAGAAAGAGAGGAATTTAATATTACAGATAGTGAAGTATCTGTGGAGAGTAAACTTGAGAAACTCTCACAAAGCATAAAAAAAATATGTAAGTGATAAAAATGAGTGTTTTGAGGTAATGACTATGAAAGAAAGTTACTGGGAACCCAAAAAAGGAGTGATAAATACTCCATTGAAAGTAAATCAAACACTTGGAACAGAAATAATGATCAGATATGATGAAATAAGACTTTAAGTAAAAACAAAAACTCCCAAACTCAGATATGTATAATTAAAGGAAACACAGAATTTCAGATAAGCGAAAAGAGACCCACACCTAGATAAAAGCTCAGGTAAATTTTTTAAAATTATAAACCTTAAGAGAAAAAAGCTAATTGTGAGTAGTCAGGCCAAGGAATCAAGGTAAATGGGGTGATTAGTGAATGCATGTTATATACAGATTTCTTCAGATTGCTCTGTTACACAGTGTGACAGAAGTCAGTGGGTTGAGAAGTTGTGAAGTAGTTAGGATCCAAGAGTTTTCTCCCCAACTAAGTTGTTATTAGTATAAATATAAAATAAAAATATTATCAGGAATGGTAAATACATTGCTGACATATTATTGAGAATATTTCAATAACTATTTGGTCTAGTTGACCAAGAGATCACTTAAAGTTATAACTCAAGACTCTTTCTGTTATGAAAGGATTGGTGAACTGCCCTTGGTGCTATTAAGTGGGCAGAACTTCCATTTTTTTACAGAAGCCTGAGAATTATATTGCTTTAGCACAGCATGTCTGAATGCACTGGCCATGTTCTTCAGTACTGGGGCTTGTATAGCGTTTGTATATATTCCTCATGTATAACAACCAAGAATATTTATTTCAAAAGAAAGACTGCAGTGAAACAGACCAAGATAATGTTGTCTTGAATAGATGAACATGCTGCTGCTTCTTCATACTGCTCTCTGTTTTCAGTATTTAAAGAACATAAATTACTTTCAAATAAATATATACTTTATATCAGCCTTTCTTAACCAGAATTCCACCAGAGGATTAAGTCTTAATGCCCTAAAATGTTCTTGGGTTTGCCTAGAGAATCCGTCTCTAGACTGGGGCCTAGCAGTCTGTTTGAACAAGCCAAGCTCTCCAAGTAATTCTGAGTCATGTTAATTTGAGAAATAGGGCTCTAAGCCATCCCTTGAATATAATTAATTAGTTCCTATTTCTGTCCTGTGCTTCTTGAATGGTACTAGTTATGTACTATCCTTGGAAGAATTGAGAATATAATCACATCATTTGCAGTGATCTGTGGTTCAGATGAGGAACCCCTGAGAAAGTTTGTTTTATACTGTATTTTATCTGCTCCCTTAAAAAAATTGTGTCTTTTCTTCCATCAGGTATGCCCAACCACATGCATCTCCTTAAAGACTGAAGTTCTACCCTCTTTTTTAATAGTCATACATAGTATGATTGAGCATCTCTTGTCTGAAATGCTTAGGACCCGGAGTGTTTTGGATTTTGGAATATTTACAATATGTTATAGATAAAGTTTCAGTGCTGCAAAAGAAATAGCACTCGAATATAACATTTTATTTTTAATTCTCAGCAAGGCGATGTACTTCTATAGAAGGGTGTGCCCTTACAGATGGAGCAGTGGTGAGCACACACCTGGAAAAGGAAGGGGGAAGGAGTTCTTATTCCTGATAAACATGGCCCCTGCTGCTGTGTCATTCCCCTATTGGCTAGAGTTAGACCAGACAGGCTAAACTAATTCTGATTGGCTAATTTAAAGAGAGTGATGGGGTGAGTGGTTTGGCAGAAAAAATGGTTATGGCAGAGCAGTAAATTGGAATGAGTCAGGGTGGAGCAGGTAATCGAGAAAGGTTGCGTTATGGGGAAGTTAAGTTTAAAAGTAGAAGGCAAAGAATTGAACATACTGACACTGATCCTTTGAAGAGAAATTTAGAACTCATATCTAACAACTTAAATCTTAAATCCAAAAATCTGAAATCTGAAATGTTCCACAATCTGAAATATTTGGAGCACCAACGTGATACTCAAAGGAAATGCTCATTGGAGCATTTCCGATTTCAGAGTTTTGGATTCAGGATGCTCAACTTACACTACAATTAGATGTGATTTCTTCTTCCATTGAGTCAGTGCTTTCAGTCTGTACTCTAAATTTGGTGTTTGTACTTTATTGTTACTTTATATCTCATCTTCCCAATTGTATTAGATGGTCTGGAAAGGGCAAGGATTATCCTACCTTTTTTTTGTTTTGGCCTTACCATAGCAACTAGGAATGTACAGTTATAGAAAAATTTTTAAACAATTATACCCTAAATAATAAACATCTTGTATGGCCTTTGAAAGGGTAAACAACAGGCTGGAAGTGAACAGTCTCTTTTTTTTAGTAGTGGGGTTTTGTGTTTATCTTGGTTTTGAAGGCCACACTTTTCACGTCTGATTTACAAACTTCTGTGATTTGAGCATGGGTTGTCCCCACCAAAACCCATGTTGAGGCTTGTTTCCAATGTGGTGGTGTTGGGAGGTGGTGCCTTTAAAAGGTGATTATGTTGTTAAGATGGATTAGTAT